TGGCCCGACTTCCACCTGACCGCCACGTCCGCCTGATCAGTCCATTGATGCCGGCACTTCCGCGGCTGCTCGTGCCCCACGCGTCACCGGCTCACCTCTGTCGATCGACAGTGGCCCGCTCCACGGGCGCCGACGGCGCATCGGAAGCGACGGCGGCGGACTGGAGCCGAGGCGGACCCCGACTTCCGCACGCCGGGCGTCCTGCAGCCGGCCGCCGGCGCCGGCGCAGCGCGCCAGGGGACTCCCCACCAGGCCGCTGCCCGCCGCACGACCGCCGGCGGCAGGGGCGGGCCCGCTGGGCTGGGCCAGGCCAGGCGCAGGCTCGGCCGAGCGCTCCCCCGGCAGGCTGGCTCGGCACACGCCGCGATGTGATGTGTGCAGGCCCCCGGCTGGCCTGCGGAGCGGAGGCGTGCTCCCGCCGGCTTGCTGAGGGTGGCGACCCCCGGCAGGGGCGGCCGGCGCGGCAGGGGCGCTGTCGCCGCCCCGGGCCGGCCGGCGCGGTAAGCGGCGGCGCGCGCGGGTGGTTTGGCTGTGATGTGGGCTTCCCCGGCCGGTCGTCGCGGGCCCCGGCGCTGTCTCGTTGGACCCGGCCGGTCGCCGCGGGCCCGGCGCTGTCTCGTCGGGCCCGGCCGGTCGCCGCGGGCCCGGCGCTGTCTCGTCGGGCCCGGCCGGTCGCCGCGGGCCCGGCGCTGTCTCGTCGGACCCGGCCGGTCGCCGCGAGCTCGATGCCATATCCCGATCATGTTAACTCATTGTACTCTTGTCGCGGTCAACTGTGCTGTCGATTGCAGTCAGGTGGCCGGCCCCTGACGCCGAACCACGTGGTGATAGTGTTTTATCTAGTGTGCGTGTGTGTGTTTGCAGCACATTGTTTTGCAGTACAGTGCAATGCCTGAGGGCAGGTACCGATGCGCTGTTTCTTCGGGTCTTCGTTGCTGGTGGCCATGCCGAGATCCTATGCGAGCGCCCTTGGCGTTGTTCGATGTGGATTGGCTGGGTTGCTGGCCGTGCTCAGGCGCTGCTGCCGGTCAAAATCAGGAACATTTTTAAAGGAAATCGCACCACATGTCGGGTTATCCACTGGGAGGCGGGGGCGTATAGTGTCTCAAAGATCACAGTAAGTGGATTTTCCCTCCAACGAGAGCTGGCCTCGGACGTGATGGCACTATAAGGACCCATCATTAACTCGCAGGGACGTCCGCTCCGCTGCGGTCCAGTGTGGGGCCGAAGACTCTGAGACGCGTCTTCCCTCACCAACGCCGCAATAATGTTGGTTTCCGGAAAAGTGGGAGAACACGTCCTTGTCGCATCCCCCCGCTTCTCCCCGCCCCACATCTCTCTTCCCCTCGTCTATGTTGCGCGTCTCCGTTGGCACATGAAATGCTATTTCCAGGTCATTAAGGCACTAGATGCAGCCAAAAGCAAAAGCTTTGTTGATGGGTCTTCAGGATAGCCCTCAATGTTTGTGCAGAACAACAGCATGTTCGCCTTCACTGGTATTGTGCGCATCGGGCCTGATTGTGGTTATTAAGCTGCAAAGATTTAAGTCATTTCGTCGACGTTGTGATCACGGGTGGCGTTCTTGAAACGAGACAAAAATCTCGATTTTCGGAAAGTACTTCCGAGAAAAGGAATCTTGTCATTGGAAGCAGAACGGATTTTCACGACTGGAGCGCAAAATAGCAAGCCGTTAATCATTGCTTGCAAGGGAATTTCCGGACCTTTTTTTGCATCCAATCGCCTTATGTTCAAGATACCATCAGTGTCCGGCGACGACGGCACATGACCCAAAACGCCGCGCCAGGCCTTGACCTAGAACTGTATTCTGCTGCTGCAGCCCCCCCCCCCCCCCCATCCATGGCCTCCGTCGTGTTGAGCCGACGGGGTTAGCCCGCTGAATCAGGTGGGTGTCGGTTAAGCCTCTTGAGGCCAAACGCACGTCCCTAACCAGAAAAAAACTCGAACTTGACGTTTTTCGTTTCCGGAGCTCGCTGCTAAGCAGCGCGGGCGGTCGACGCTACAACCCCCCCCCCCCCCCCCCCCTCTGTTCGAGCCCGGAAGCAGGATGAGCGGGATGTGACCTTAACCTGCCGGCGGTGGCGTGCCATGGGGGCGGACGTCCGGACGGCCGCTGGCGGCGGCGGCGGAGGACACCGCCAGACAATGGCCGGCATGCGACACACGCACGTCACACACCGGCGCAACGACAGCGTGACACCGCAGCGTGACGGCGAGGCGTGACGAGCAGCAGCGGCGCCCGCCGCCCACGGCGAGAACCTCGGCGAGGCCCCGACCGGACCGCCGGCGGCGCTGGCCCCGACATATGCCAGTCATCGGTGATCTGATCTGTTTTCGAGGCGCGTAGTCGTGCGAACGTGAGCGGGGAACCCAGCACGGCCGGCGCAGGTCTTCCGACACGTCAGCCAGCGTCCACCGGACGAGTCTGGTGGTGCCGCGCTGTGGAACTCGCGACGGGCGAGCCGTATCAGCTGTCGCGTGACAAAACGCGCCCGGGACAAACGGAAGGTTTCTGGTGTTGGTCGCTTCAGTCAGCAGACGGAGCTGTCCAATGTTGGATGGACAGCCCAGCCAGCGCCGCTAAACTCCGTCAGGCGGGATGATTTGGAGTCCGAGTGAAGGGCTGTCCTGTAAACCACAGAACGAAATGACCGTGAATTATCGGTGCGGGGTTGTAATCCAGTGGGGTACTGAGAGGCCCGGAGGGGGATAAACAGCGAATCCGACCGAATAAATCTGGATCCCGGTCCACGGACCTCGCTGCCGTTCCCGTTATCAGGATGTTCCAGGTGGTGCGTCACGTGACGGGTCTGGTTGCCCAAACTGCGTCAGATACTGCGTCACTGCGTAGCGACGACATTGCAGTGGCGTTGGTGCCAGACAAATGTGAGAGGGGCCCTGTCGCCCACGGTGAAAGGCTCAGCGGGACGTCTGGGGTACAACCACAAGAGCTGCTGTGAGCCAAGCTTATGGGCGCGCGTCACAGTTTGGCGGTGTCTGAAAAAGTCGATGTGGCAAAGCACCAGCACTGGCATCTTCTAATGGAAATGTGGTAAAGTGACAACAATTCCATCGAAGTTTGTTGCAGTCCGCTGGTGAAGGATGTCGAGTACCGAATTCTCCACTGATGTGTCTGCCAGTTTACAACACGTGCACCGTCCTCTTCGCCCCCGCACCGCGCCACCACCGCCCCCGGCACCAGAAAAGCACCGCCGCCGGCATCAGACCAGCACCCCCCCTCGAGCCAAACCAGCGCCGCCCCCATCACAAAACCAACACCGTCCCTGGCATCGCACCACTACCGCTCACCGCACCAAATCAGTACCGCACCTGGCACCAGACCAGCACCATTCTCTAAACCGAGCCAGCGCCGCCCCCAGCACGAAACCAACACTATCCTCGGCTCCAAACCAGTACAGCCCATGCCACTTAAAGTGCACCGCCCTCGTCACTAGACCAGCACCACTGCCTACACCAAACCAGCACGCCCTCGGCACTAAACCAGCTCCACCCCGGGCATGAAACCGCCACCGCTGTCTGCACCACAACAGCACCACGCCAGCAACGCTCCCGGCACCAGACCTGCACCGCCCTCGGCACCAGAACAGCACGGCTCTCGGCACCAGACCAGTATCGCCCTCGGCACCAGACCAGCATCGCCCTCGGCAACAGACCAGCACCACTCCTGCACCAAACACCTCTCCCCACACCACACCAGCACCACTTCTTGCACCAGACCAACACCGCTCCCGGCACCAGGTCGGTTCCCGGCATCGCCGCCTGTGGAGGTGGAGGTGGAGGTTTCCGCGATGACGATAGCTGGATGCCCCATCAGCGCTGTTGGCTGAAGACGTCAGTGGCTACGCCTCTGGGGACCTGGCGCTGACGCCTGTGGGCCAGCAGCGAAGCTGGTTGGAATTGGGCGGTGAAGCTGGCTGAAGGTGTCATCAAAGACGCTGGCTGAAGATGTCATCAAAGACGCTGGCTGAAGGTGTCATTAGAGACGCTGGCTGAAGGTGTCATCAAAGACGCTGGCTGAAGGTGCTTTCAGTGACGCCGGCTGAAGGTATAATTAGTGACGCTGGCTGAAAGTGCCATCAGAGACGCGGGCTGAAGGTCCCATCAGTGACGCTGGCTGAGGGTGTCATCGGAGACGCTGGCTGAGGGTTCCATTAGTGACGCTGGCTGAAGGTACCATCAGTGACGCTGGCTGAAGGTACCATTAGTGACGCTGGCTGAAAGTGCCATCAGTGACGCTGGCTGAAGGTACTATCAGTGACGCTGGCTAAAGGTGTCACTAGGGACGCTGACTGAAGGCACCATCAGTGACGCTGACAGAAGGTGTCACAAGTGACGCTGGTTGAGGGTACCATCAGTGACGTTGACGGAGAGCATGACCTAACAGTGACGCCGGCTAGACCACTGATATTCAAAATTGCTGACAGCTGCTGATGCTTACCAGTAGCACGCAGTGGTCATTTGACTTTGGAGGATCGCTGTCCTTAACGACGCGTGGAACCTGGAATGCGGCAGAGTTGCTGTCCGGCGGCTTGGATTTGAATATGCTGTCCTGACGCCGAATTCCGCATGTTTATGTATGACGCATGCTTCCTGGGACGGCTGCAGGCTGACCTGGATCACGACCTGACTGGCTGACCTGGATCACGAGGGCCGCTGCGCCAGCCCCGTCCTGGGGGGGGGGGGGGGTCCCGGCCTCGGGTCCAGGTAACCGCTGTCAGGGCCCCGCCGCAAGCCATCCCAATGTCAGCTGGCGGCCTCAGCTCGGACGCCTGATCACCGACAGCTCAGCGCCCCCCCCCCCCCCCCCCCCCCCCCCCCCCCTCCCGATGACCTCGGCGTCGCCGGCGACCCTGACCGCGACGGTGCGCCCGACATTGGCTGCCGGCGCGCCGCCTCCGCGGCTAAAAGGCGCCGGCGGCCACGGCGTGCATCAGTCCTGCCACGGCCGATCCCGCCGAGCCATGGCACGCTGGCTGCTGCCCGTGACGGCGAGTGTGGCGCTGCTGGCCGCCCTCCTGCCCGCGCCCGCTGTCGCGCTGCCCTGCGCCATCTGCACGCTTGGCTGCCCGGAACTCAACTGCCCGCACGGGATCGGCGTGCGCACCGGACCTTGCGACTGCTGCCCGCCCTGCGCGATCGCCACGGGGCAGCCCTGCAAGCTGCCCTTCTCGTGCGCGCCCGGCCTGATCTGCGCGCCACTCGGCGGCAAGAACAAGAACCAGAAGTTCTGCCTGCCGGCCGCCGGGTCGCGCCGACGCCGTTCCGGGTGGCTCTGATGATGCAGAGGCTTCGGGTAACGAAGCAAGACTGTTAGCTGACGGTGGGAAGACGACATCCCGGCTCTCAGCCGAGACGAGTCCTCTAGCTGATTGTGTTCTAGTGGTGCCAGACGACGCGCGCGGAATTGACGGTGAGGCCATAGGTCGGGTACGGCGTTCGCCGCGCCCCGCGAAGATCACCGTGCGCAAACAGCACTATTCCCGCGTGGCAGCTAGATCTCAGTTAAGTGCTGCGCGCCAAATCAGGGACGTCCGGAATAGCTCGGCCCATCGGATGATGTGACGCGCCCTCGATGACCTCACTGTTGGTCACTCCCGTGACGTTTGGTCTCCGCAGACCTTTGGTCTGTTCATGCAATGTGTTCTAGCATTGTGGTCGCATATTGACCACGCATAAAATGATGAAAGTGGACAACTTTCGTTTGCATTAGCCCGAAGACGGATGTGTGCGTCGGCACGGACCCGCCCAAGGACTGGGCACCGATCCCCGCTGCCGCCCCAACCCCGAGCAGTCTACTCAGCGCACGTGCGCACGCGGTACTCGAGCCCCAACGGCCTGCACCACTGCTGGTCACCGAAGCGCGACAAAGTTGCGGTCCTCTGACCCAGTTCCCGGGTCAGGTCACCGGCGGACTGTGTCCGCGAGGCCGTGGGACGCGAACCGGCGTGGCCGTGAAAAGCCGTGGGTGTGGCCTCGCAGCCGAGCATACAGCCTAGCGATAAACGCCTACCGGTGTACTGCCGGCGGAGTCCCCCAGACATGCCAGTCGCCGCGGGGCGACGGACGGATTCGCCGGCATGGCGCGACGTGCCGAACAGACCGCGCGCGCTCGGTGGCGCGCCCCGGGCCCAAACGTTGCTAGCCTAAAGGCAATGACACGACCGCAGACCCCTCGCGCGGGGCCACATTCCACCATCTTGCTTCCACTCCCTCTCCTGAACTACATCGGCTGAATTTCGAAATGTTTCAAGCTTTTATCATCAGCTGGCCGTTGACGAATCGGCTCTTCCTCCCGTTGAGTTTTTACCAGTTGTTTAAGACTACTAGGGTCGCGCGGTTTGCCCGGGCCGATGGGTGGCAGCTACCGGCATGAGGACCTCTAACTAGCGCATATTCGCGATGTGCACAGCGCATCCAATTGCACATTGCCGGCTCCCTGCAAGCCCGTGCACCCCTTGCCACCTGTTTCTTCCGCAATGGCCGTCTACGAGCTTCCGCATCCCAATGTCTCGAGTACGCCGACACCAAAACCCCGGCCGAAGCCGCATTACGCGCAGTACAGTTACCAAAGTAGTAGTTACCAAAGTTCGCTCGCCTGTGCTACAGAGATAAACCCAGCGAATCGCACGGCACCCAGCCGCACGTCTGGCTTCCCCCCCCCGCCACGTACCTGCCGGCGCACCGAAAACACCAGACTTCGGGGCGCCGAGCTGGACAAAGACCAGCTTCTGCACTAAACACACCAGAGCGCCACGCGCACTAAACCAGGAATTATCTCACCACCGGCCGTGTCCGCCCTAGGCTCAATTTCACTGCGGTGGCGCTGTTGACAGCTGTTCCCCACACATTCGACCTGTTCCGGCGCAGCAGAGCACTGTCGGCAGACGCCGGCGAACTTCAGAGTGGCTTGGTCTACTGTGGCGCAAGTCTCCCGTTCGGCCCTCCATCGCGCCTTGGACAGTACTTACGTCGATCTCCGCCTGTGACGTGACCGCCGTTTCGTCAAAATTCTTTCCGGGCTTCAAGACGCGTCCAACAATATTTTTGATCGATGCAGCCCTTTTCTACTGGAGTCGCACTCTCCGCCTCTGCGGCAATCCCTTGCCTTGCCTTCGTGTGCTGTCTCGGTCGACCCGCACCCACGGACCGTCTGCCGCTCCGCGAGGACGCGCGAACGCCGCTCTTTCGAGCTCTGTATCATGCCACCCAGCGCTGCACACTTCCTGAGCTCATCGCACTACTCTGCATGGAGTAATCCAAGCGCACATTCTTCGCTCGCGACTGACAAAATAAGCGCCGCACGTTCACAATGACGCCCATAGCGTCACAGTACAAATATAACGACAAATGCAGTATCTGGCAGTGGCTGGAACTTAGGAACAGCCCCAAATTGAGGAAGCAAGGCACGGCACGCCTACACGTCCAGCCCCGCTAGTACGGGTGCGTTCCAGGACAGACTAGGAAGCGAGCAACGGTATGACCGGTGTTTCCGTCGTCGCGTTTGTACGGACTTCACAGCCTCAGTTTCCCCCATCGCAGCATCATCACAGAAAAACACAGCACACGGCGGTCCGTCGAGGTATCAGCCAACACCCTCCAGCTAGTCCGGCATTCTTACCACCAGTCACTGGCTGTACTTGGTTGGGTCCGGTCGGCAGTCGACAAACACGATAAAAGGTATTGCTCAAAGTACATAATTTATGGGGCAAAACTTTACCCCTGTATGTGATTTCAACCTCATTTCAGTCCCAAACTGCAGACGACTTTTCTCCCTTCATTTGACTTGGCCTCCTTGCTGACCGTTCATCTGGTGGTTACGTGATGCAATTATATATAGGGAAATAAACTCGACAGCAAACATTTAATGCCGTGAGAAAGGACCGGATCCAATAAAATCTCTTCCAGAAGTGGGCGACTGTGAGCTCCGCTCGTTCAGTTTTAATTTCGTCTGAACGACTGACTGTTGTCGGGCCACCGTCCGAAGAGGGACGCGCACCGCTAGAGCTGCCGACCGGACGCCGGCGGTGGTAAGGTGTGCCTGTCGGGACGCGCACGCGTGCACAGCGGATCGCTCGCGCGGTCTCCGTTTATTGGCCACGGCGCGACAGCGATCAGAAGAAGAAGCCGAGGATCTTGCCGCCTAGATGTTTCCGCCGGGCCTCGTCGTGGTCCATGATGCCGCCCGATGTCGTCATCACGATGTACCTGCGACGGCGGGCGGGCGCGGTCAGACTCGGGGTCGCTCAGACGCTGGCGACACCTACCGCCGACCGACACAACCAGTTACAGCGTGTGTAGCTGCTGCTTGTAGGGGCTTTGGGCGCGCCGGCTGCTGCGGAGCATGGGCAGATGAAGCTACCACATCCGCCACAGCAGTTAAAGCCACCACAGCTGCCTCAGCAGCTGAAGTCACCACAGCTTGCCCAGCAGCTGAAGCTACCACAGCCGGCTCAGCAGCTGAAGTCACCACAGCTGGCCCAGTGGCTGAAGCCACCAAAGCTGTCTCAGCGGCTCAAGCTGCCAAAGCCAGCATAGTAGCTGAAGCTACCTGGTGGCTTCAGCTACTATGGTGGGGTGGTGGGGTGTGCTAGGGTGGTGCTACACGTTCCAGCACATAGCCTCTTTGTATTTCGTGCAAGGCAAAGACCTGAGTTGCCATAGTGATCGCAATCGCGAACATACGTGACGCTTTCAGCTGCGGACACTAGCACGAGTGATGCTGGATAAACAAAAAAACTAGACTCCCACATCTGTGATGATTGAGTGATGCCCATATCTGAATCTGTGGCTCTCCCATCACAAAATAAGTAAGAGTAATTAGCAGGTCGAGCTTCGACATTCTAACACTATACACACCATACTCTGCTGATTTCTGCTCAAACCGCGCATGGTTGCGCCGAAACTTCTCAATGACCGATACAGGGTGTTACGTTGCAAAGAGGGCAGCACATGTGTACAAACTTAATGACAAGCGGAGCGGTTGTGAGTGCTGACCAAGGCAGCAGCTCAAACCACCTATAGCAATGTGTTTGTGTTTGGGCTTGGATGAAGACGGCCGCCGCGCGGCGATTGGCATGAGGTCCGTGTTGTCATGTGCTGATGATAAAATGCTCTTCATAGTTCATGATGCCTGTGCCATACTAAATGTGGCTACATATGGTACCCAAAATAAGCAAGCCACCACAGTTGAGCCAGCTGTGGTGGCCTCAGCTGCTGAGCCAGCTGGGGTGGCCTCAGCTGCTGAGCCAGCTGTGGACCACAGCCGGCTCAGCTCAGTGAATTCAAAACATTCACTTCAGCTATTGTTTCGGTAAAGGCATGTTGCCAAAATATGAACCCAATTATATCTCCATTCTCCTGCTTTGTCTCTGAGGAGTAAGGCTATTACTGCTGTTTTATCTGTGCAAACCACTATTCAACATTAACTTGATTCTGTTAAGGCACACAATTTCAGGGAGGCAGATGCATAATTGGAAGTGGGGACAGGGGCTCACGCCATCCACAGCCGCATCCAGCAGACTGACCCGAACTGTCTGGAGGGCAGCAGGTTGTTGCACCACTTCTCCATGTCCGTCAGCTTGATGTCGAAGCGCGGTGAGATGACGCCGCACTTGTTGAGGCGGCCTGTCAGGTTCACCACGATCTTGCCAGCGCGGTGGTCGTCGATAATCTCGAACTCGCCAATGTAGCCTGTGGTGAAAGGCATCATCCTGGGTCAAGTGGACGCCGCAGTTCAGAGTCCCCCCCCCCCCCCATCTGGCCATGGTGGGCCATAGAGGGTAAAGCTCCTTGCAAGCTGTTGCTTTCCGTATCTGTCCATTACAAAATTCACAAGTTGCATCACAAATAACAGAAATGCTGACTTATATTTACCTCAAAACATCACACAGGGTCTAAGATGACTGATGCTGGAGGCCCTAAATGCCAAATATTAACTGAGTTCAGAAGCCAATCATGTTTTTCACCAACATTTTCAAGGTCTTACATTTTGGATATTGAAACAGAACTAATATGGATGTCAAGACAAATGAGCCTGTGACCCTGCAATCAACTGTCAATGATTTCCTGTGCAGTCTGATCTGTCCAAGCAAGCTTGCTTGGTAGGCCAGTACTTTGTTATGGCACTGGTGCAATGTCTATGCACATCACAGACACTGTATTCATTATAGGAAAAAAATATGTATTTTTCCAGGTCAATTACATCCGAAGTGCTTGACTTCATCTCCCAAATGCACCAATTTAATAAATGATATCTCTGAATATATCATCCTATACTTTCCTGGATAAGAAACAGTCATAGTTCCCCAGTTTATGTTGATTACTTTTCATTAAATCCAAAAGGTCCAAAAAGGCCTGACACATAGGATTCTTAAAAGGCTGTTGCACAATTCAGCATCCAAATACAGCTGTGCCTGTCATGCATCTCCTTTACTTCCTTTTTCTGAGCCTTCAGGCAATCTTATTTACAAAAGTCTTTTAGCAGAATAAAGCCTCTAAATGGATTTCAATGGTAACAGTTTAGTTGTTAAATTTGATCCAATCAGACCAAATATATCAAATGCGTACTTTCCATATAAAATATGTATCCTCACAAATTAAGGTAACAAGCAGTCATTTCAATTATCACAATATTTTTCAGGCAAAATCATCTGAAAATTTTGCAGTGACCTTGCATACTACTCCCTAGCATGTGTGTCACATTCAGCACACCAATGTCATGGCAGTCTGCAAAAGCTGGCAGACCTGTGAAGAAAATATTTGGGGCAGGCATGCTCCTGCCCTGAATGGAACAGCAAATTTATCTGTAACATTTTCCAAACAATCAGACTTGCACCTACTGACTAACAACCACATGTCCTGCTCAAGATAGGTCAGAATCACACTGAATGTACCAACCAATGTTATCCATTACATCTTTATGTTATCAACACTTCTGCACTAGGTGTATGATTTGTGTACCTGTTCAGCATATGTAGCATTAGCAGCAGCAAAAATGAAGTTGCATGAGCAGCCACATCCAGAACAGGACTAAATAGTAAAGCAGCAATGAAGATAATTATGCTGTATTAAAGACCAAAGGTACACTCCACCTTTGGCTGCTCCTGCTTTGAGTAAACACCATTACTTTGTTACCTTTGCATACTGGTGCATTTTGTAGTCCCACCCAACCTCTGCCCTGGCTCAACACCTGCCCAGACATACTGAGTTGCTCCAAAACAAAATGAGCCACCTCAGCTGCAAAATAGCTACCCAAAAACTTCACCAAACTTGCACCAAATATCAATTCTAACCTTAACTCTGCCTGAATAAAATATTGTTGAAATCTGTTACACTTAGCAGACCTGTTGGTTAGTTTGTCAAGCATGCTGTTCGGATTCTTAGAACACACCCAGCTGCTGAGGCAACATGGCATCAACCACCTCTCCCCCTGGCACAAAGGGCAGGCACTGCAGGGAGTCAAACCTTGCACATCTGGGAAACCAGACATGCAGTGGTCAGCAGGCATGCCAACCATTGCATTACTGATACCCTGGTTACTTGAATGCTATGTCAGCACCCCAATCAGCACACAGATGCCTGCATAGCCATTCAACTCTGTTAAATAGTAATGTCACATCATGGGCATAAATGCATAACTTACCTTGATTTCAACACCTTAATCTGTGCATCAATCCATGCCACATGATCAACTCACCATGTTTCATCATGACAGTCAGGAACCGTACAACAACCTTTGAACAAGGTCTGAGAAGAACTTGACGTTTTCCTCGTCGCTCTGCATTGTTAATCGCATTCAATGCGTCGGCCAGCGCGTTCATGCGCACCATCTTGGCAGTGCGGAACTACGTGGGTACTGGATAAGCACCTGTCGGAACCGAACGTTTGCATCATTCCCCAGGAAACCACGCACAGTAAAGCAAACACACAACCATAGAATACGAAAGCACATCTTGCTCGCCATTCAGAGTATCACGTTTCCACACAGTTTTGTCTATTTCTTGACAATAACCACCGAAGCCCGCGCTACCGCCATCCACCCTTACCTCGCGAACACCAAAAGGAAGAGCCCCGTGTAGTGGTGATAGAATGCAGTATAATGCACTGAAAACATGTTTGAAAAATGAAGAATCGAGTATCCTCCATTGAATTAGTTGTTTGAAAGGAATTCAAGTCATTTGTTAAAGAAAAGAGGTACTGTATTCTAATAAAACCTGTAATGGCTCACAAGAATTGACGAAATTATAATTTTACTAGGGATAAGGCTAGCAAATGACAATACGGCATAAAAGTCTGTGCGGCACGAGGCTGTGCGGGCTGCAGATATTGAGATATTTTTTGGCACTACAGCTTTGGAGTTTAAATTTCAGGATCCTACGCCACACGATAGCTGAGTTCTTAAGCAATTATTCATATGTTTATGCATGGCGGGTATTTCTACGAGATTACAACGCAATCCTGGTACATTCCCCGCACTCTGCACTTTTAGGAGTGTTGCGTCTTTTACGGACTGCTTATCCGTCTGTTTTTGCTCGCACTGAGAGCCATCCAATAAAAGCAATATTTATTCTGAGAAGCACATGCATATTGTGTTACTTCAGGTTGAAGGTGAGTGCACTGAGCAACATAGATGATACCTGGGCGGTCAGCGCGGCAACAAGGTGTCATGGACAGCAGGACGGTGCAGCAGAGGGGAGAGGGTGACAAAGGGGGCATCTGCCTGCATGCCGATGGAAAAGTGAATGTTTTCGCCCCCTCAGACTTGCACGTTTAAAAATTGCTGCATCTGGCAGCCAATTTTTATTGTATCAACCCAGGCAATACCATTTGAAAAACTTGTCACAAATTTGCAGCCTGGCTTAACATATGAATGAGCATGCATGCGTAGCATGTCAAAAATATTAGGCACCATGGGTGTCTATTTGTATTCTTTTGCGAGAGTCCTGGCCCCCCGAATGTTGAGTTGGGCCCTCCCAATGTTTGCTTGGCCCCCCTTATGTTTTTGGCTGGAATACTACAAAAGGGGGTAAAAGATTATCATACCACAAAGACTATCTTCTTTAATTTGTCTACGTATAGTGGTGTCTCGTGCCATTCTCAGAACGAAAACTCATGGTTGCTCTCATCACGAGATACAAATTGCAACACCTGAGCGGAAAAACGATGCAATAAACTGCACATACCTAGCGCCATAAGACACACAATGGTTCGTAAGGTTAAAATTAAAAGCTGTGGAATATGAGAACGACCACGTCCTTCTTGGCCAAGCTCGTCCCCGTCCCCAGAATCAATACGCGTGCCGCCTGCCATGGCCGCCATAGGGGAGCGCCATCGGCACCCTAAGGTGGCCTCTAAAGTCTTCACGTGCCGATCAGAAGAGATCCACTTCATGCTCCCTGGATCCAACCCTGCATGACTTCTATACTGCTTAAATTAAAGACTTTATAAATTATCACAGCGCAACTCATTTAAGTAATCTATTGCGGTTTGCCACAATAAAGTGGGCTAAATCCGGTGAGAAAAAATTTGGGGGGGCGGGCGGAGTAGGCTGCTGGGCCTTTGGTTTGCCCCCCCCCCCCAAATAATTTACAAAAATTGATACCCCTGCTAGGCACCTAGTGCCTATATGGTGCTGTTTGGTAACAACTAACATCATACTTATGGTAGTATGTTTAGGTACTTACTGCCTGGTATGCCAATGGTTAAGACAGCTGTTCTTTAATTATTTGACTCACCATTCCGTTTTTAATCGTAAGCATTGAAGGGCTCAGAAGAGCATTGGGGGAGGGGCTCAAGTCAGTATTGGGCGCTCACACTCCCCGCTAAAAAGGATATAAAGTGACGCCCCTGCCGATAAATGAGCTGGAGAGTAACACACTCTGAGGGAGGACAGCGACAGCGCAGAGTCCAGGGGGCGGGAAAACTTATATAGATGGCGCGCGCTTCCACAGCATGCATCAATGCATACTAAGACGGAATTCCTTCCAGACGTGCTACGCCGGTTGTGTGAGTGGTAAGGGATCTAGCCGCACCTTGTTCCCAGAACAGCACACGACGCGTCACGCCCCTCCGCCGCGGCGCGTCACAGAATACACACATTCGGTCAATGGCACCCCTCCCTCAATACTCGGCCAAAGGCACTTAGTTTTTGTCGTCACCTCTCTTCAAAACCCGTGGTGCTACGTTCCACTTTTCTTAGAATCCCCAAAGCGAGAAACGGAGTTTCGACCTTGCCCTCCACAGATCGTCAGGCAAAGAAGATTTATTGGGTTATAATGCGCTATCGCGCCCAACATGTCATGGTAATCGTACCTTTGCTGCGCTCCTGGTTATGTTCTCTTGTCGTGGAACGTAGCGGCAGCATGACCAAATTTTTGAGCTTATCCCTTTTGCGTGGCCGGGCGCATGGCGCGAGCTGTTTAGGCCCGATAGCAGCAGATGCCACAAAAGCGGCCTTAGTTCCTGGCATCGCCGCACGGTGGCGCCACGCCCCTCGCCGATACCGTTGATCGTCGCTAGGCGGAGTTCGAGCCGATGGGCAGCGACGGGCGCCTCCGACCCGGGCGGCTCCAGTCAGCTACTGCTGGCGGAATCCGCTGTTCATCGCGCATGCGCACCTCGCAATGCGATTGGATGTGAAACCCGGAGCAAAGATTTCGGGTCGGCTTCATCCACCAGCTCAACCAGGGGAAACCCGTTGCGGCAGTGAAGCGCTCCTGGTGTCCGCTGCGTTTGCTGTGCCGTGTTGTGTGCCGTGGGTACCTGGCACGTGTTGCATGAACAAACACGTGAGCTCACTGTGCATATCTTGTTCGCCTTTGCCTCCCGACAATACTCATCCGGTTTTGCGTAACAAGCCTCTCTTGCGTTGTGTTGGATGGTATGCCGCCGCCTTAAAACAGATTCTGTCTGGCCTTCGGCCAAAAGTAAATTCCCGCTTCTGAGTTGAATAGTTTCGTCGTGTAAAAAGATGTAGCCTATCCACATTGAATTTGAAGTCCCCAGGATAAGTGGACCTTTATTTTCTTCCTCAGCGGGGCCCCGCAAAGCGTACTTAACATCATTTGAAAATTACGTAGATAAGACTCACCCTTCTGTCTCTAGCCTAACCTCACAGATCTTCCTGTGATCTCGTTGTGAAATTATAAGGGCAAACTGCAAACGCATAAATTGGTGCAAGCAGCTAAATCTGAAGTCGTTATTTATAGTTAGTTCGACACAAACATTATGACATATCTATGTTATTTTGAATGTGTATTTTTCAGTTAACTCAACCTTCAATATTATTCGCCGTCCTTGCGCCTGCACGGCTTGGTTAAATTGCGCACAAACAGCTGATGCCTCCTCCAAAATCGTACCTATGGCCACAGATTTGACGCAGATTCAGCGCTCCTCTAACCTTCTTCAAACTGATGTCACGTTTTCTTCTGTATGAGTGATGTGAACAGATCCAAAGCGTCATCATTCAGCGGCACTGCAATCCCAGCATCAGCGCTCTGGCACGGCATCGACACCGGGCCATGCACGCTTTTGGTGTTGTATCCAGTTATTTATCGTCTCACCAATATTCTCAATAGCCGAGAATTCGCTCAAAAAACACTCTTCACTGAAATAAATCCAACCCTGCACTTAAACTCACTCCAACGTACTGCTGACAGCGGTGAATTTTATGACACTTAATTTCTTCGGTGCGAACTGAGGCTCTAGCCCTCAGAAAGTGCGACAACACATCGGTGAGCCCGTTAGTTTACGACTTTTTCGAAAAGTTCCGAGTCTGGACTAACCGGATGCCACCTTGCTGTTTAACTAACGGGATGCCGAGTCACTCTCCACAGGCCTGCCCGCAATAAGCTTACTCCTCACATGCCTGCTCGAAATCAGCTTTGTCCATTGTCACATTTTCTCACCGTGATAAATTCCTGTTGTTTCTTTTTACAACGTGAATGAGGCGGCGATCACCGCGTGGACCAAATAAAGCCAACGCTTGTACACAGGGTCACCGCGAATCAAAATACACCTGCTAAGGAAAACCTTGCAAACCTCCCAATAGGCTCCCAGCAAAACTCATCTCTATTGTTGCTGATTCACATTCGAAAATCCTGGCGGCCCTCTTCGATTATCTACAGAAACCGTATCTATATTATCAGATATAAATCCGCAGATATTACAATGGTTGTATCACAAAGTTGTCATTGAGCTACATTTACTCGTTGCCAAAAGGTTTTTTACAGCATGCGTTGAAAAAACGCGCTGGTTTTCCTAATTTGCCGAGGTTTTTCCAAGCACAATTTGGAAAAAACTTGACGTTAATCCCCTTAGGTACAGGAATTTGTCATATCTGTTAGCATTTCTCTCGGAGGACACAGCGTAACATGACAAAGCCGGGCCGGCCACTCCCTCTTTTGCAGCGAGGAGGTGGTCTGGTCCCCTTCACTGGCAAAATCGACCGCTGAGTTGAGGACCCCAGCTGTCCAGCGATCTCCAGCTTCAGCTGCGATGTTTAGTCCTGCCACCCGAGAGCGCTCTAGATGATGAGTAACACGTGGGTGCCTCGTGTTCTGCCTCGCATTTGCCACCGGACGAAATAAACCGCATTAGCGTGATACCATGATTAATACGTGGATGCCTCGTGTTCTGCCTCGCATTTGCCACCGGACAAAATAAACCGGATTCGAGTAATATCATGATCAATACGTGGATGCCTCGTGTTCTGCTTCGCATTTGCCTCCGGACGAAATAAACCAGATCAGCGTAATACCGCTCGCAGTTCTTACATCGTTACCGAACATTAGCCAGGCCAACGTAACGTAGCTCACCCTTGTCCCTTGCCGTGCGCCGAATATGGAAAGCCGGCTGAAAGTAGCCTGTTGCCCGGCCATCCAATTCCAGAAGTCCGTCC